GTTTTCTGCCCATCAACAACAGAAGCCTCGTGGCCATTCAGAGCTCAGACTCAAAGCCTCTCCTGGCTGTTTGGACACTACAAAGCCAGAACAAGGTCACAGGAAGGCACAACAGTGTGAGAGGGCAGAGGATTGCAGACATTTCATTTCACAAAGATAGGTTTTTTCTTGACAACCAGCGGTGATTGACAGGAGAGAATAGGGAGTAAGTGGGGATGGCTGCAAGTGTGTGGACAGATGCAGACATTTTCAACAAAAAACACATACTGTAGAGGTAGTTCCGTGGATACGAATACAGCTTTAAAGGTCTCCTATTATACTATTTTTAGGCATACATTATAGGTTTCAGATATATAAAAAGCATGTCTATGAAGTGATGCTTACACATATTCATGTATAAAAGACATCAAAAAGAGAATTTTGCGTGATAGGAGACCTCTAAAAGTGGGCTCACACTTAAACTCTCCGAATCAGAAATTCTTTATTTGTCTAAAAGTGGGGAGATTTGCATTGTGTCAGGCAGAAACAGCTTCAAAAGATAAGCACACGTTAATAAAATAAGTACCATCCAAGCTATGGAAGTAAGTAACAACATTATTAAAGTAGCACCCTAAAAACCGAATGACATTACATGGGAGATCCCACAATTAATCTGTGATGTCTAAAGCAGTCCAGATGTTATTTTGTAAAAATCCACCTCTTGTTTTTCATGAAAACACTTTCCCTCATGTTGCTGTTTGAGGTGATGTCTTTGTGCGTTATACATGAGAGTACAAAGAGACAAAACAGGTGCAAAAAAGAAAATGGTGACAGAAACAGAACAATGGCTAGGTTTGTCATTCCTACTCACAAAATATTCCCCCCAAAATAGCGTGATGGCAGGGTCACACAGAGCAGAAACTGTCGATTGCATCAAAGCCTGTTCAGAGTTTTAGTCGATGCTTCCTCCGCCTCTTCTACGATTGATTTCTCTTTGTGTCGTTATTGAACACTGCTGTGAAATTGCGAGTCACGAATGAAACCGTCACTGTTTGATTTTGTGAAAAGGAAAAGTGGACGAGAATTTATTTTGTATCAAACATTTGAAAGAATTATTCGGAGGAACAGCTGGCTCCAATTACTCATTTAAATGCTTCCCTTAATTGGCTCTACTAGGGGAATTACTTTTCCATGCCATTTGATCACCCTGCACACACACAACTAAGAGAGAGGCACCAACTCTGCTATGATGTGTCTCTTTACTTTCCCGATACATAGCCCATTAAAGTTGTGACTATAATCAATGTTTGGATGTTTTTTCTGCAACATTACCTGCTGTTGAAAAGCAAATATGGTCAGCCTGAAGTTTTTTTTTAGCTTCATCGTCATCATCTGAAGCTGCTGAGTCTGTACTTGAACACGTTGGCAGTGTGTGCATTGCAGAAAGCTTATTCTAAAGAGAGATGCACAAAGTTTGCTCTGTGCAGACGAGCGAGGTAGGTCAGTTGTCAGGAGAGGAGAACGGATGAGGTGAAGGAGGCTGAGTGTGTGCTGCGTCTGTCTTTTTATCTGCACACTGAGAGCTAATCACTTGAAAGCCTCCCTGTCGCCTCCTTATAATTTAAACAAAGACTTTATGAGGCTATGTCAGGAAAGAAAGGAAAGGATAGAAGTTCATAAGCAGGTTTCTTTTTAACCAAAAGTGTGGAATGGTATAGTATTTAGATTAATTAGCTAATGATAGCAATACAGGTTTTTTTTTTTTTTTAACCAAATTTGAGTTTCACTGTGGAATCGTATAGTATAAAAAAGCGTTTATTAAAAAAAAATGTCCACTGCCTTTTTGGAATAAACAAGAATATTTTACTTTTCAATCGCATCTGGACATTCCTTTGTTTTCTGTCTCAACTACAAGCATCTATTCATCGGTCAGCCCGTGAGTGAATCACAGACAAAAGAATAAAACAAATGGATATCGTGGTCACTACAATAGTATTTAAATTAATTAGCTAATCATAGCAAATACATTGTGAGCTTTTGCACAACTTGCATCAATGTTTCACTCACAATATCAAAATATAAATCCGCAAAAATGGTAGGAGAGCTTCTCTCTTGGAAATACAAAGTTTGACTTCCATAACCTAGATATATTTATCTACTGATGAACGATTTTGAGAACAACGGCTCCATAGTGTTTCCTAACGGGTCTAACCTAAAAGCACTATTCCTTTTGGCTCAGCGCACTCTTTTAACACCGAGTCAATCAATCATAATGTAGCTTTCTGCTTCTATAGTATATTCTCCCGCCGTGTCTCGTGTGTGTGTGTGTGTGTGTGTGTGTGTGTGTGTGTGTGTGTGTGTGTGTGTGTGTGTGTGTGTGTGTGTGTGTGTCTGTGTGTGTGTGTGTGTGTGTGTGTGTGTGTGTGTGTGTGTGTGTGTGTGTGTGTGTGTGTGTGTGTGTGTGTGTGTGTGTGTGTGTGTGTGTGTGTGTGTGTGTGTGTGTGTGTGTGTGTGTGTGTGCGTGCGCACTCCGGGCGTTGTTCCAGAAGCAGTATGAATCCACTCATTGGTCACTTTAGAGGGAGCACTTAAGAGCTGACGGATAATAGCAGGAGAAGCAGCCCTGAGGGGGCAGCAGCTAAAGTGGGACCAATTCTTTTAGTAAAAGTGGAGAGCAAAATCTTCTTTTTGTGAAAAAAAACACTCCCTATGTCTTTCTCTATACCAGCTGAACTTGTATCGTATTTATTGACCTTATGTAGCCACGCCCCTTTTCCCACATACTATGTGTGCTTGTGTGCTTTTATAAATATGTATTGACCTTATGATCGTCCCACTTCCGTATTCAAACGCATTTGTGTAAATGCTTCTGTTTCAGCACTAGCAGCAGTGTTAAGAATGCATTTGTGTGGGTTAGATAAAGGTCCACAGTGTTGAAATGTATAAAAATAAGTTAACTAAGAGACCAAACTCTATTAACCTTTCAGTGTGCTATTCAGCGAGTGAGCGTTAGCTATCTTGTTTATTAGCAAACATAGCAATCGTTAGCTATATTTATCTAACAAGCTGGCTAGTGAATGTTATCTATTTATCTCTCTATAGAAGCTAGCTAATGTTCGCTATCTATATAGTTAGTTATCTTATATTAACAAGCTGGCTATTAAAGGTGGGGTAGGTAATTTTGGAGAAACCAGCTCGAGTGCGCAAGAATTTGAAAATACACAGCCGGAAAAAATCTGCCACTTCCTTACAGAGCCCCTCCTCCAACACACACATGAACGCGCACATGACCAATGAGGGCACGAGATAAGTTTGTGCACAGATGGAAGGCTGACAGGCAGGTAGGCCATCCAGTTATTTTAGCCGGGCCGTCTAAAATGATTGGTCGTACTTTTTACAGTATTACGGCTTCCACAGATGATATTTTTTTATGGATTTTTTGTCAAAGCACTTAAGATATTCATTGCTATCGGGATGTTAAGAGCATTCCATGGAATATAACAAAAAGTGTATCTCGAGCCGGTTTCTCAAACTTACCTACCCCACCTTTAAGCTATTAGCATATTGGTGTTTTGTAATTTAAATTGGAATTATTATTTCACATCTTATGGTTCAACTTATGTCCAACTTTCAGGCAGTGAGAGTAATTATAAAAACATTGTTGACTTTCATACAGCCACCAGCTCCTCACAGCTCCAAACATCAACTTAAATTGCCAAATATGCCTTGTTTGGATGAACTAATCACAAATTGATAATAAAAAATGTTAGCTTCTCGCCTGAATTAGTGTTTTTACTTAAAATCTGTACATTTAAAAGCTTAAAAACAGTTTATTTGGCAGGTTAATAGCAGATTGTGTCAACACGTAATATGGTAATGTGGAAGCACCCTAGAGCAGCCGAAGCATAAGGTGAATACGTGTTTCTAGAACATTATGATGTCTGACAATTACAGTTTGATTTGATTCATTAGACACATTAATTTCTAAATAAGCAGCAGCCAGTGCTTACATTAAAGAAAAGTCAGGTTGACACCATGAAGCCCCGAGGCTCATCTCCATTGTGGTTCCTTATCTCTTAAAATGCCACGCTGCGTTGATGCTCTGGGACGAGGAGCAGGACTCCTGTCATGTTTTATTTCCTTTCTTTAAATATTAAAGCTGCACTGATTAATATGATATGTTAGCAATGTTACAGATGAATATGTTATATGAAAGAGCTCATGGTGAGTCCAACAGCTCTGCAGATTCTTTTAGCTAATTGTTTTAGTTTTAAGTGTTTTAGTTTACTCCACCTTTTATTATTATAATTTCCACCCATGGCAAGCAGCAGTTTTGAGGATAAATATACAGAGATGGAGCTAGTATACACTTTAATAAGCCAACCTAAAAGATAACGATTTGACTTATAGATTTCAAATCAGGAAACATTTTTCGTTGCATTTATCAAAGTTCAGTCAGACAACTCACGTGTTTCTTTAACATGTTTATTAGAAGCAGCATATAGTTAAGTTTGGCGTCTAGGCTCGGGCCTCATCACTCCACAGATATACATAGCACGATGAGTGATGATTAAATAACTAACCCCCCGAGCCTACAGGTGGAAGCTGGGGTGGAAGCTGGGGTGGTGGTGGGGCAGGCAAGCAGCAGCGACGTGGAAGTAGCTGCAGCAATAGCAGCAGCAAGCAAAGCATAGAGAGATATCTGGCAGGTTAAATAGAGCGGCATATTAAGGAGACTCTGTTTGGTTGGTTGGTTGTAGAGTGGCAAGGGGCGTTATGTATGAATGCAGCATAAGTGCTCGAGTTGACTGCCTGAACTAGCTCGCCCCATTATTGCACATAATTAGAAATAGAAAAGTAGAAATTAGACAATTATACAATATTAACATCTCAAAATAGAATAATATATGCCTAAAAATAGCATAATAGGAGACCTTTATTAAGTGTTATCTGTGGTTGTATACAAGTTCAGCGGCTGGATGGTCATATTTAAACCTCGCTTTCTCTTTCCTCTCATGCAGAACTCCAGCTATGATTGGCTGCTCCTTCGTGGTCGATCGGGAATACTTTGGAGAGATCGGTCTTTTGGATCCGGGCATGGAGGTCTACGGAGGCGAGAACATTGAGCTTGGCATGCGGGTAAGGACCACACATGAAGCTCTCTTCACGACACAGACACAGGTCGGTTCTTTGAAACGGGCGTTTATTCTTGTAGCCTCCCTCTCCCTTCTTCCGTTACGCTGTGAGAACTACAACAACGAACATCATATATACATAGCCAAATACATTAGCATAGTGTGTTACACATACAAATATATTGAAGAAAATAGGACATGACGCCCACATGAAACAAATACCTCGTTGGCCGCTTGTCGTGAAAGAAGATTAGTTGAAAGTTCCCTTTCTGAATAACTTTATGTCACGGACTGCAGCAGAGCTTCAATAAAGACGTCAACCCACGTTGAGTTGTCCAGTGCATCAACACAACACGCAGTACCAGTACATGAACAAACATTAGTTCCTAGGCACAAGAAACAACAAACACTTAAGCATATTGGTGTAACATATAAAACAAAACTGTTTTAAATCATGCCATATTTTTACGATTTTAATATTACATGAAATAAAGTATTTATCAAAAATAACTATGAAATTAATTATTTAATTTCTTTTAAATAAGGCAACTTTGTTACGTCATTTACAACACAAACTGGAACTGGAAGTCTTTTTATAAATAATTTGATATGTTGACTCACAGAGGAGAAGCAGCAGATGAAATTGCTCGGAGAATTGCTGCGAGAAAAAGATTTTAATGAGGAATTCCTTCACAGTCTTTTCACCAGGAAGGCCACCCACAAAAACAACCGTAATTACAATTCCAATATTTGAGGGGGTAAGTTTAAGAAGTCCTAGTTTGTGAAATATATATTCAGACGTGTTATGATGAAGTTTTCGTCTGTTTCCCTGCCCGGGGGAAACTGCTTAAGATACAAAACCCAGGGGCATCAACAGAAGCCTCGATTAAACTTTGCAAAGTATCTTAGATGAGAGTGGAGAAGCTAAAAAGAAAAACCCCCTTAATGCAAATCTTCAACCCACCCAAAGCCTGTGTACGGGAAATGTAAATCTCTTTTGCTGCTGCTTTGAGTTGAATTTAACGCTTCATGTGAGCGGAGGGCCTCGCTGAAGAATTGGTTAGCGTTTAAATTCAGAAAATGTTTCTCTCCATCCGAGTGGAACCGCTCTGGAATCTAAACGCACTTCTTCGGCTTATTGGAATAAGATATGCTTGAAAGATCCCACTCCTTCATTTAACGTCGTCCCCACATTTATTTCTAAAAAATCTCAAGATGGCTTCAACAACACCTCTGAAGTGTCGGCCGCCTCACAGAAAGCACTTGAGCGGAGGAACGGAGAATTGGTCGTTGGTTTCAGATTGCTGCCTTGTTTTATTAAAGTTGTTGCTGACCCCTTCAAAGGCCTCTCATTATTCAACAGACTGGACCCTCACCCACACAAATAGCACAAGGAGAGTAATGCTTCTTGTGTCTTTATCTGAGAGTTGCTATTATCATAGAGTGATTACTGAGCACTATGTATGTCAAGGGGTGAACTTACTGTAGTGGCATGAACTCAAATGCACAACTCAGACTCAGGTGGTATTCAAAAATAAAGACTTTACTGGTTTTAGCACAGTAACAAAACAAGGAAACACAAAATCACTCTTTCGAGGAAAAACTATCAGCAGACATCAGGAGCATGAGAAAACGCGATACGACCATGGAGAAGGCTTGAGCGTAGTCATGAATGAGAAACGAACTGGCACTGGACAGGTGGGGACTAACACATTATATACATAAGGTGAGTGGAACAGGTGGAAACAATCAGGGCGGGGTAACCAATCAGGAACACAGGAGACACATAGGGGCGGGGAGCATGGAGTTCTGAAACAAGAGGGAGAATAACTTTTCACAATAAGACAGAGGGCACAGGACAAAGGGACATGACAAAACCAATATAAAGAATAAACTTTCATCATAAGTTTCCGAGACATGACTATGTATTATGTCCCGAACGCCAAAAGCATCGCCCAAGGTTATAAAGGGTTTTGTGTTTCCGTAGAGCCGTTTGTGGAACTAACAAACCATGAAACTCCAGGAAATGAACAGATATTAAAGTTAGAACAAAGTTATTTAATAAAGAGTCAAACAATCAACAGAATTACTCACTTTCTGCTAAAAGGACAGATGACCTTCGTATGTTAAAGGGATCTGACCATGAGTACTGATTTATACAGAAAATCAGGAAACTACGTCATACACATTTCGTACAAATCACAGAAACACACGATGGATTAATTATAATTAGTCTCATTTATGTGTTAATTGTCTTATAATGGTCTCAGTTGCACCCTACTGTCTGTCAAATGGTTATATACTACTGACACTATAATAAAGAGTTTTGCTTGAAATAATTCTGCACAGTATTTGTCTTTGTTTTAGACTTTGTTTCAATAATCATAAACTTGAAAATAAAAGTGTGATTAATCGCGAGTTAACAACGAAAAATCATGCAATTATTTAAAATTGTAATCAATTAACAGCCCAATTATATACACACTGAAGCCAGACATGTGTAATACAAATGTAAAGAAACCATAGGGTCACAATAAAGCCAAGGCAACAAGTTAACAAAGACAAAACGTGAATAAATGGGAATGTTTGATAAATATAGTTGACATTGGTGTGGTTTTTAATTCAGCTACCGCAGCTAAACACAATTTGAACAACACACACACACACACACACACACACACACACACACACACACACACACACACACACACACACACTTCCTGATTCTGGTCAAATTCAAAATGAGTTCTCCCAGCTAATTACAAGATGTGATTTATCTAAATATCCCTTCTTATTTCAAGAAATCTTACCAAGCTAATGTTCACTTGATCTATTGGCAGATGTTTGTACTTATTTAAGTGAAAGCAGCTTGTTTTCATTATTGTTTAACTTGTTTTTGGAGCAGCATTTTTTCCAGTGTATGAAGTAAGGAGAATACGCCTCTCTGTCTGCAAACACAATGCAATCACCGATGCAATTACCCCTCCTCCTGTCCGTGTTGAAATGAAACCGATGCCACGGAAAAAAAGAGGCCATTCAGCACATTTACAGGGCTTGAAAAGGTCTGCAGTCAACAGCCAGCGTCCACCATTCATATTGTATTCAGCTGCTAATGGAAAGGAAATGGGCTTCTGGCCAGTGGACAGAAAGTTACTCCTCTAAGGCGGCGGCCAGAGAGGGTAAAAGTACACGCATCCTTTACTCAAGTAGAAGTACAGATACCCGTGTTTAAAAATACTCTGGTAAAAGTAGAAGTACTGACTAAACTTCTTTACTCAAGTAAAAGTAAAGAGGGCTTTGAAATGTACTTCAGTAAAAAGTACCCATAACTAGCAGCTGTTTTAAAGAGTACCTGACCTCCCTTTATATTAATAGAACAATAATGTCATTGTTAGCTAATGAATGTTTCCATGCTGAACAACGGCAACATGACAACGTTTTCATTGGTCCCTCTTCTTTAGAGAAGACCAGGAAATGATGGATACACGGATCGTGTTCAAATCAATAGGCACGCAATGACTCTAAATAATAATGATCACGCCACCAAACACACATTCAAACTAAAGTAACCAGTCTGTTTGGAAAATGTAAGAAGTAGAAAGTTCAGGTATTTGGGTTCAAAATGTAAGAAGTAGAAAGTACAGGTATTTGTGTTCAACATGTAAGAAGTAGAAAGTACAGGTATTTCTGTTCAAAATGTAAGAAGTAGAAAGTTCAGGTATTTGTGTTCAAAATGTAAGAAGTAGAAAGTACAGGTATTTCTGTTCAAAATGTAAGAAGTCAAAGTAAAAAGTCGTCAGAAAAACCAGTAGTGGATTAAAGTACTGATACCAGAAAAATGTACTTAAGTACAGTAACGAAGTATTTGTACTCCAATACTTCCCACCTCTGCTTGTCACTTCTTAAATCCAATAACCTCATAACACTTGTTTACCCATCTAAAGGCAACATAGGAAGTTTATCCATCTTCACCTTTGAAATAACTGTAAACGTGTGAACATGAAGCTCCGCCATGAGGCTCCGTTTGCAAACAGAGAAAAATGGCCAGGGACGGAGATGATGAATCCTGCCAGAAGTGTCAATATGAGTTTATCCTGTAATGTGTCTCCTGCTCTGCTGAGGCTTTGCTGATACAGCGTCTCCAGAGACCCTGACACTGCCTTTCATTTTCAAAAGTTCCTGTGGGCACCACTATTACACCGTGGTAAATCTGTCCGTAAATATAACACTACATCGAATCCATCAGAGGGTCATCTTTGCTGCTGCTGCTAGTTCCCCTGAAACCTGCTGTGGACTCAGACCTTTATAGGTTGTACATTTCTCAATATATGTATATCTTGTGAAGTTAACAGCTCATATAGAACCGTTTATTGTCATTATACAAGTACAGTGAGATATACTCCTTTTTTTAAGGTGCCATCAAAAGTACACAAAACAAACAAGAGACGTACAACATTCAGGAGAAGACAACAACAAGCATTCATACTTCAATATGCAGATACAGTTAAAGTGCAGGAATATATCGGTTTAAGTATAAATAAATAAACCGATATATTCTTGCACTATAGTACAAAGTAACACTATAGTTAAAAGTAAAGGAATGTAAATGAGACATTATCTACTGGGGTTTAACTGATTTGCTTATTTCAAAATGCACAAAGTGATACCACTATATATCTGTTTAGAAGTTGCCAGGTGCAGTTGTTATGAATCAATGTTGTTATTCTCTCATTTTCTATCATAAATGTAATGTCTTCCCTTGCCTCTGAGACGGCAATTGGATCGTTATAAAAGCCCTCAGGTAAAACAGGGATGCAATTAATCCTGAAAAACATTATTACATATTTAAATAAAGGCGGGGATTGTTCAGACTGAAACATCATTACAGGGCGTAGAGACAGGTTTAGGGAAGGGTAATCAAAGTAATGATACCAGAGTGTTAAAAAGTGTTATGTTGTTCTGTGCTGTTTCTTAAATCCCCTACGTCTGTACTTGAGTGCATAC